GCCCACCTCAGCTTCTCAAGTGCTGGGATTACAGGAATGAGCCACCACACCTGGCCTCATTGTATGTACATACTACATTTTCTTTATTCATTCATCCACTGACAGACCCTTAACTTGTGTCCATATCTTGGCTATTTTGAATAATGCTGCAGTGAACATGGAAGGTCAGGTATCTCTTGGAGATGATTTCTTTTTTTTTTTTTTTTGTAATAGCAGACTCATAGATCAATGGAACAAAATAAAGAGCCCAGAAACCCACACATGTACAGTCAACTAGTCTTTGATAAGGGTGCCAAGAATACATGATGGGGAAAGGAGAGTCTCTTCAATAAATAGTTTTGGGAAAACTAGATACCTTTCAAGAATGAAACTGGGCTTTTATCTCACATTATATGCAAAAATTAACTCAAAATGGATTAAAGACTTAAATGTAAGACCTAAAACTGTAATACTCCTAGAAGAAAACGTAGCTAAAACCTTCCTTGACATTGGCAGCGATATTTCTAGATATGACCCCAAAATCACAAGCAACAAAAGCAATGAACAAGTGAGGCCACATCAAACTAAAAAGGGTCTGCACAGTAAAGGAAACAATCAACAAGGTGAAATGGCAACCTCCAGGCTCCTTTTATTCGGAAACGCATACACATTTCTGCTCAAATATTTTGCCAGTTCATTTTGTATGAGTAGAAACAAAATCAAATGCCAGATAAAGGAAAGCCCCCTCTAATTAACCCTCTGAAGCACATCATGTTAACTTTCCTATGCTAACACTAATGTTGAGGAGGAGGAGGCTTTGCATGTTTTCCTTTGCCCCTTTGTCACAAAATCATCTGTTGACTTACAACTGGTGATCTGCTTAAATGATCATGTGCAGTGATCTATAGAAAATGCAGTAAAGAAGAGAAAGGGGTAGCAAGGGGGAAAAGATAGATATAACTTAAAATGAATGCATATAACGCCCCCTTTTTTCTTTACAAGTTTTACTATGAAGCAAAAATATTGAGAGATGGCAACTTCATTCAAAATTACAATCAAGTTAAAAGATCTGGGAACCATCCCTGTTTGTATTTTTCATTTCCTTTCAATTAGGTTTTAGTACACAAACTAAAATACAAAGACAACTAGGACAAAATTCCTTGCCTTTCAGTTCAGTTAACCAAATATCACATAATTATTTGTAATAAATACATAATTATTTGTAGTAAATATGAAATAAGTAATAAAACAACTGAGACAGGAAGTATAATGAAGGTTACCAGGGACTGGAAGAGGGGGGAAGAGTTATTTCTTAGTATCAGAGTATTTAGGGTGATGAAAAAGCTTTGGAAACAGATCTTGGTAATGGTTTTACAACTTTGTGAATGTAACTAATGCTGCTGAGTTGTACACTTAAAAAAGGTTAAAATCACAAATTTTATGTTACACATACTTTATCACAATTTCTAAAATCAGAAATCCCTCAACTATCTGTGAAGTGTGACAACAGCTATAGATGGGATACACGTTAAAGATCTTGAATACACAACAAGAGAAATAATCTTTTAAAAGCAAAATGTATTGAGTTGCTACATTTTCTTAGGCACTCTACTAGGCACTTAATATTCAGTATCTCATTCTGGCTCCTCCAAGAAGCAGACACCAAGATGAAATTACAAATTGAACGTGTGGCCGGGCTCGGTGGCTCACACCTGTAATCCCAGCATTTTGGGAGGCCAAGGTGGGAGGATCACATGAGCCCAGGAGTTTAAGACTAGCCCGGGCAACATAGCAAAACTGTCTCTATTAAACACACACACACGTACACACACACACACACACACACAAACCGAGTGTGGTGGTGCATGCCTGTCATTCCAGCTACTCAGGAGGCTGAAGTTGGAGGATCGCTTCAGCCCAGAGATCAAGGCCACAGTGAGCCATGATTACACCACTGTACTCCAGCCTGGGCGACAGAGTGAGACTGTGTCTCAAAAAAAGAAAAAAGGGAAAGAAATTGAACATGCTAGAGATGTATTGCAAGAAACGCTCGTGCAGGATAAAGGGGAGGAAGCAGGGGTGTGCAGGGAGAGTCTTGCAACTGCAATGCAGGCCTGACACTAGCTTAGAGGATCAAAGGAAAGGAGGAGGAAGATTGGATATAGAGCCTCAGACTGCAGTGCTGGTCTAAGAATGTTTGAGCCAGATCAGTGGGAAGCCTTCAAGCCCATGTCTCCTATTAGAGGAGTCTCATCCTCCAGCAGTGGGCCCGATTTAGTTTCTCTGCTGGGCTTCATTAGTGGCCAGGTGCAGCCTGGGGGAAGCATGGCCTCAGGGCAAGCCTGGTGGAGGATCCAGGGGCACAGCACCCAGTGCTGGGATACTTATTTGCCAGCCACACATTCTCTAGAAGGAGCTCTGACTGGTGTACTTCTGTGGTCACCACACATCTAACTTCGAAAGCTCACAACCCCTCTTCCAGGCATTTTATTACAAATTAACAAAAAGGGGTAACAATAAATTGCCCTAAAGTACACAGCTCTTAAGCGGTCGAGCTAGCTTTCAAAGCCAAGTTTGAAAGACTCCAAAACCAGTGTTTTGTCTCCTATAATGTGGTAGATCAAATTATTGTTCAACAAGTATTTCCTTTACCACACCTACTGATCTCCATGGAAGGATTATTCTCTGCACCACTGGCATGGGGTTGGCTGCGTGTTGTGTTTTAGCCATAAAATATGGGTGTAAAGGACTGTGGGCCAGTTCTGAGCCTTGGCTTTGAGAGGCATCGTGTGTTTACACTCATCTCTTGCAGAAAGCTGTCAGAAGGTCATAGGCATAGAATCAGAGTAGCCTAGCTGACCCTCATCCTAAAGCAAAGCACCATGCCTCTCACCTAGCCAACCTGCAGACTCAGGAGAAAGAAGGAAAGGTTTTTAATGGTAAGCTGCTGAGATTGGTAGGGATTTTGTATGCAGCATTACTTCGGCAAGAGCTGACTGACGCATACCATGTTGCCTTTACAGAAGGAGCCAGGAACCATTGATTCTGCCTTGGGGAGAGGTCAAAAGCTTCATGAAAGAAGTAACATTTGAGCAGATTATTCTTTTTTATTTTTTTTGAGACAGGGTCTTGCACTGTTGCCCAGGCCAGAGGTGGTGTAGTGATCACAGCTCACTGCAGCCAGGACCTTCTGGGCTCAATTAATCCTCCCGCCTCAGCCAGCCAAGTAGCTAGGACTGCAGGCATGCGACACCACACCTGGATAGTTTTTGGGTTTTTTTTTTGCAGAGACAGGGTTTCACCATGTTGCCTAGGCTGGTCTTGAACTCCTGGGCTCAAACAGTCCTCCCACTTTGGCCTCCCAAATTGCTGGCATTACAGGCAATATAGGCTTGAGTCACTGTGCCTGGCCAGATTGTTCTCAGAAATAGAATTACATTTTTGAAAAAAAAGTTTAATTTCCTTTCATTGTCAAAAATTTGGAAGCTATGGAAAGTAGTAAAAATAAAGTCAAAGAGATTATATATGTTGATTATATATATATATATATATATATATATATATGTGTGTATGTATGTCTTAGACTGCTCCATGCATTCTAGGCCTTTATATGCTCTGGGGTTTTGCCTTTTTTGCCTGCATATTATCAGCAACAATTTGTGTTCTTACATATGATCCAATATTCTTTGAAGGCATGGTTTGTAATGGTTGCATATTATTCATAGCAACAGCATTTTAAGTTTTAAGGGCAAAGTGAAGCACACCAGAAAGAACTCTTTCATTCACTTATTTAAAATTAATATTTATTGAGTACTTGCTACATGTCAGGCACTATTTGAAGCACTAGGAAAACAACTGTAACAAAATAGATAAGGGTCCCAGTATCTATCAACAGGTAATTGAATAATCAAATTGTGTATATCCATACAATGGAATTCTACTCAGCAATAAAAAAGAGCTAATTACTGATACATAGTACAACATGGATGAAAGTCAAAAACATTATGCTAACTGAAAGGAGTGACACTAAAGACTACATATTGTATGATTGCATTTATATAAAAATTCAGATAATTCAAAGAAATCTATAGTGACAGAAAGCAGATCAGTGGTTGCCTTGTGGGATGGCACAGAGAGGGAGAAAAGAAGCATAAGGGACATGAGAAACCTTTGTGAGTGATAGATGTGTTTGTGAATGTGTACATATGTCAAAACTTTAAATATGTGCAGTTTACTGCATGTCAACAGTACCTCCATAAAGCTGTTTAAAAAGTGATGGGAGTACAGTGAGGGCTAAACAAGTGGCAGATAAGCATTCTGAGCAGAAGGGAAAGCACATTCAAAGAAATAGAGGCACTGTGTTTAATAAGCCCATAGGACTTACCATCTACAAGGCAGTGTTCCAGGCGTTGTATAAATATTAAGTCATTTTATCCTAACAACATCCCTATGAGATAAGTACTATTAATGCCATCCTTATTTTGCAGATAAAGAAATCAAGACACAGAAATACTAAGTAACTTGCCCAAAGGAGCACAGTAATTGTCAAAACTGGACTTTGAATCCAAGAGCCTAGGTGTAGAGTTCATAGTCTTAAATATTACAACATGCTGCCTCTACGTATCTGGGAACATATTTAGTAATATCTGTGTATATTTGAAAAGTCATGTGACTGTAGCCAAAAGTGAAGAGGGAAGAGAGGGAAGGGAAGACCTTGGAAATGTAGGCTGAGATAAGTTCATTTAAGTATAAGTCCAGGCCATATGCTGAGAACATATATTGGAACCCTCCTGAGTGATATCTTTATTTTGAGTGGATTTTTCTATTCATTATCAAAGGCTAATTATATCCTCAATGGAACACATCTGAAAGCAAGTTTTCTACCAACCTTATAAAGGACTTAATCCTAAATGCACAAATTGATCAGATAGTGTATTATGCTCCCCACGTAGCTTAAGAATCATTATTCACAAAAAGATACATGTTCTCCATGTTCTCTTTCAAAGCATGCATTCACAGGCTTTTTTTTTTTTTTTTTTTGAGACGGAGTCACACTCTGTCACCAGGCTGGAGTGCAGTGGCGCAATTCCTGCTTGCTACAGCCTCCGCCTCTAGGATTCAAGTTATTCTCCTGCCTCAGCCTCCCAAGTAGCTGGGACTACAGGTATGTGCCACCACACCCAGCTACTTTTTGTATTTTTAATAGAGACAGGGTTTCACCATGTTAGGATGGTCTTGATCTCCTGGCCTCGTGATCCGCCTGCCTCAGCCTCCCAAAGTGCTGGGATTACAGGCATAAGCCATCGTGCCCATCCAGGCTTACTAGTTTAGGGAGATACAAATGGAAGGAGAAAGGCAGAAGCACAAAGCCTCCCCATCAACAATTACAGAACTGCTGCTGCTTTTCTCTCTGGGTTTAACAGAGATCACCTAAAAAATCTTGGCTTGTCTGAAACTCTGGAAAGGATATGAAAGGAAGTTGGGTTATCACAGGCTATTAACCAAAAAGGCAGACTTCCAAGGTTCTTAAAGTTTTTTGTGAACTACAAAATAGACCTTTAGCTGCAGGTATGTTAGGGATAAGAGCCTTAATCTCACATGTGTCCTTGAATTTAGGAGCTCATTGCTGCTCATCTTGACCAGCCTGTGTCACTCATTTGGGATCCCAGCCTTTAAATAGAAGACACCTCCCTGTTCTTTTTCCTCAACTTTCATTTCTTTCTCAAATATATCTTCAGAATACTGAAGAGTTCAATGTAGCATTAGTATGGTTGCTTTGTTGAGCTCAGCAACTCATCCCTCACAGAGGCCAAGATGTTTGACAAAGATTTTTGTCTTAGTCTGCTCTTAGGCTGCCATAACAAGATACCGTAGACTTGGGGGCTTAAACAACAGAAATTTATTTTCTCACAGTTCTGGAGGTTAGAAGTCTGAAATCATGGCACCAGTATGGCTGGTCTCTGGTTAGGGCTCTTTTCCTGGCTTGCAGACGGCATCCTCAGTATGTGCTTCTATGGCCCTTCCTCAGTGCATGTGCATGGAGAAAGAGAGAAATCTTTCTCTCTTCTTTGTTTTATAAGGTCACCAATCCGATTGGATTAGGACCCTACCTTTATTACCTCATTTAACCTTAATTACCTTCTAAAAGCCCTATCTCTAAAATAGTAACATAGGTTGTTAGGCTTCAACGTACGAATTTTGGAGGGACACAGTTTATTCTGCAGCACTACTCCTGTTCTAGATTCTGTGCTGCATCCATTGTACAGAAAGTTACAGCATCTATGCCTCTCCCTGTATGAAAGTCCCCCCAAAACCCCACCATCCATGCATTTCAGATTGCAAACTTGAGACACAGGGGCTAGATTCAGCTTTCACAAATATTCTGTTTAGCACCCAGGTTTCAAAAACAAATTTGAATTAGTTGTCAACATTTAAAACTTGGAATATAGAAAATCAGCAATGGCATTCCCAGCTTTTCTTGCAGCAAGCCTCTAAAGAATTGTGTTTCATTCTTTGTAGTGGCCTTGAGAGCTCAGAGTCAAGCTGGTGTTCAATGGCTAACAAAGCCAATGTGGGACGTGATAAAATCTATTGGGGTGGATGGACTGCTTCTGGAACTATTTCATTTCTTCCACCATTAGTTAAGTTTTTCTGCCCCTTCTATCAAATGATATTTTTTAATCTCAATACTCCTCATGAATATTTATAATCCACTTCAAATTTAGGGGGGTAATAAGTTATACAGATTTTTAAAATCAATTCTCTATATATGTTTGCTGAGAGGATGAATGAATTTCTTAGTCAGTTTGTACTGCTATAGCAGAATACTTGAGACTGGGTAATTTATAAAGAACAGAAATTTATTTTCTAACAGTTCTGGAGGCTGGGAAGTACAAGATCAAGGCATCAGCAGGTTTGGTTGTCTGGTGAGGGCTGCATCTTTTTAAAAGGAGAAATGCTTGTCCTTCCATGTCAGAAGATGGAAACAGCAAGCTAGCCAGCTAGCCAAAAGCTACCTGAAGCTTCTTTTACAAGGGCCTTACTCCTCTTTGCAGGGAGGAGCCCTCAGGGCATAATCACCTCTTAAGGGCCCTACCTCTTAATACTATCATGTTGGCAACACCTGAATTTTAGAGGGGGCACATTCAAGCCTTAGTGATGAATGAATGAAGATGCACATGTGAGCATCCATGTGTATTCTCAAAATATCCAAAGAGAACTCTGCACTGAATTCAGAAATAAATTTGAAAGGCAATTTGCTATTTAACAAAATCTTGAAAAAATAGATAATAAGGGGGGCACATATAATTCATAAATTAATGAATTTGTATAGCATTTGAGTTTACAAAGCACTTTCCCATATATTACTTCACATAGTTTTGCCTCACCCACATCACTTTTCTATGATATAGTCATTACTTTATTAGGAAGAAGCTCAAGCTCAGGGGACTTAAGTGATATGCTCAAGACTACAAAGCTGGCTGCCAAAAATCCAGGGCTTGCAGCTAAATGTCTAAGGTCATGGATTGTCTTATTGTGTACCCAATACCAGTCAGAACTCACTGATGTGCAGAGAGAGCTCACATCTTACCATTTCACAAACTTCGTCAACAGCACACCTATCTCCCCAGGGCTCTGCACATTGCCAGAGAATTCCCTCACCCTGAATTATTTCCTTTCTCTCTCCTTCCTCCTTCCTTCTTCATCCTAGACCCTCTAACCGCGAGTAGACTCCAGTAGACTCTTAAGCAAGCCCCACCCCCAAATAACTGGTTTCCAAAGATACCTTGGAGACAGTATTCCCAGATCCACAGTAGATTACAGTTTTTTGTTTAGTTTTATGTTTCTCGGCAAAATAACATATAGGTCACTTCTCCTTCTGGAAGATTCCTGATCCACTACAAGTATATTCTATCAATCTTTCAGAAGTAGGAAATCTTATTACAAGCTATCCTCATGCACTGTGAACAGGGAAAGGAAGTGGGCTAGAAGAAGAAGGCTGCTGTAAAGGAGAAATCCAGGCTGCTAATTCTACCACATCACCAAATTTCTGTGGACTCACAGAAAAATGCCCCCAAGTCTTAGTGCTTTACAAAAGCAAAGGGCTATTTCTAATCATGGGTTGACAACAGCTCTCCATGTTTTCCTCACTCCAGGCCCCAGGCTGATGAGGCTATTTCTGTTTGAACCATGGTTGGTCATGATGGCAGAGAGAAATGCACATGGCATTGAACCATGGTTCAAATAGAAATAGCTTCATCAGCTTGGGGCCTGGAGTGAGGAAAACATGGAGGAGAGCTGTTGTCAACCCATGATCAGAAATAGCCCTTTGCTGTTGTAAATCACTAAGATTTCAGGGCATTTTTTTACCAAAGGATAACCTGTCCCAGCCTGACCATTAAAATTTCCAAAATATTTATCATCTCATAATTAAGTATTGATATGATATTTCTACAGAAAACATCTATTCATAATACAGAGTATTTGAAAAGTAAGCAGAACTCAGTAGAAAATTCAGTGGTCCTAAATTTATTAGACCTGTTTCTAACCTGCTTGCCTTTAATAATGTCTGTGAGCTTCCATTTTTTAAAAAAACACCCAAACAGCTCACCTCACATGGTTGATGAGACAATTAAATGGGAAATATATATATAAAACTGTAAAGTGTTAAACAAATGTAAGATATATAATCAGTGTGCTGTCCTGGCTGGGCTGGATTTCAGAGCTCCTGCCTTGTCAACACAAACAGTGTTACCTCCAAGTGGGGAAACAGGAAGTCAAATGCTCTTGATTCATGTCTGTGGTTCCTTTTCATCATATTCCATAAAATTTATAGAAGGAGACCTCCAAATTAACAAATATTAAAGTTTCTCCATCTATCAAGATACTTTGGCCTCTAAGTAAAAGAAAGCCTGGCTCACCTGGGCATGGTGGCCCACGCCTGTAATTCCAACACTTTGAGAAACAAAGGAGGGCAGATCACCTGAGGTCAGGGGTTTGAGACCAGCCTGGCCAACATGGCGAAACCCCATCTCTACTAAAAATACAACAATTAGCCAGGCATGGTGGCAAGCACCTGTAATCCCAGCTACTTGGAAGGCTGACACAGGAGAATTGCCTGAACCTGGGAGGTGGAAGTTGCAGTGAGCTGAGATCACGCCACTGCATTCCAGCCTGGGCAACAGAGCAAGACTCCATCTCAAAAAAATAACAGAAACCCTGGCTCACACAGACTTGAGCAATAAAGATGTATTTCCTCTACTAAAACATCATGTTCGGCAGTCGGGTAGTCTGTAGACCATCAACAGCTCACTAATGGCAAAGCTCAGACTTTCTCAGACCCTCCTTTCTACCTTCCTCAGCATCAGCTTCTCCCTAAAGCAGTTTTCATCACAGTCTCTAAATGGCTGCTGGAAGAAATCAGATCTAGAGGCTACAGACAAGAGAGAAAGGGGATACAAACATTTCACCCACACAGAAGTTGTAAGTCCTTCCTCAGTTTGCAAAAAACATGGGCCAAGGGCTTGATGGACTAATGGTGGGGAAGTCACTTCAGAAGCTCTGATGAGGATATCAGAACAAAATCAAGGTTTGTTAGTAAGGAGGAAAAGAGAAACAGGCAAGAAAGTAATACTCTGAAAAGCAGCTCAACAAAAGAAAATCTAGCACCTCATGCATTTCCATAGATCCAGGAACTGTTTCAGGTTCAGATTTGCAAACCTGATAACTGGGCATAAGTAATATCTCCTAACACTTAGCCCTACCATCTGTTGCTGACATAACAATTTTACACAATACCGAAAATGCCAGATGGAAGCTACACATTAGCCATGTCCAAGATGTTTCATGCTCACAACATATATGGAATAGAAGAAATAGCTTTGTTCCATACACTTCTGAGTTCGTAGTTCTCACTTATAATTCTGACCATTGATGGAGCAGAACAACTCCAAAGCTTCCCAATCACATTCCTCCTTGATGTTTGGAAAGCTGTGTGCACTGCTGGCCTCAGAATTTCTATCCAGGACAGACTTAGAAGTTACAATATATTTGGAGTTAGGGGGTGTGGAAGGGCACACATATTTGAAACTGTGTTTGCACAGCAAATACACAGTTTTTAGTTTAGAATTTATATTATGGTAAATAAGAATAGATTTTCTTATTTTCTAAAGATTTTTTAAAAATTTTACGGTATGTAAGATTGAGAAAATGCCAGTTGTCCTTATTATAGACAAAGAAGTCAGGGAATAGCTATTGCTATGGAGCAAAGGTAATGGAAGATGTACTAAAGGAAATAAGATTCCTACATAAACCTCCCATCAGCTTAAAGAAGTTTATAGAGGCTGAGCGCAGTGTCTCATGCCTGTAATCCCAGCATTTTGGGAGGCCAAGTTAGGTGGATCCTTGAGCTCACGAGTTCCAGACCAGCCTGGGTAATGTGGTGAAACCTCATCTCTATAAAAAATACAAAAATTAGCCACATGTGGTGACGTGCTACTGTGGTCCCAGCTACTCGGGAGGCAGTAACGAGGATCACCTGGGACCAAGGAGGTCTAAGCTGCAGTGAGCCATGTTCATGCCACTACACTCCAGCCTGGGTGACAAAGCAAAACCCCTGTCTCTAAAACAATAAAATAAAATTTATAAAGTACAATCAACAATTTCTCCATTTTTATTGTAA